AAAAAAAAAAAAAAAAAAAAAAAAAAATGCATTAATTATGTTATCGCTCGCTCGCTCGCGTTCCTAACCGCATCTCGCGCTGGAACCCCACCCCCGTATCGCGCTTTCGCTTTCGCTCGCCGTTTCTCTGTTTGTCGCGTTAAGGTGTATCGCGTTCCCGCGACCGGCTATTGTTACGCGCTGCCGCGACCGGCTATTTTCGCGCGCTCGGTAGCATATAATGTATACGTATATAAATACGGAAGTGGTATGCGAAAAAAGGAACTCCGTTTGTCATAGATTTTACGTCGATCTTTATTCGATAAAATATAGATAGAAGGATATATATGATACAGTGGAGTAAAAAATAAACGATTAAACACAATATATACAAAATAAAAAAAACGAGCAACGCAATAAGATAAAACGATTAATACGTTAAAAAATGAAATTATATAAAACCAGTAATATATAACGTTTCATTTTTTACACAAATTTATAAAGTAATTCAATTCGCGGAGTCGATGCTGGCGAAACATTCGCGTCGCTCGACCCACCAATCGCGCAACTTCATCACGTTCTCCATGGCGCAGCACCGTTGGTGACGCCGGCAGCGAAACGCGCGATCGGTGCGAAAAGACTCCAACCGATCGATGTCTTCGTACTCCGCGTCGACGGTCACGATTATCGCGTCGACGTCGCCGAGAATCTCCTGCAGCCATTTCTTCTTCTCGAGACCTTTCACGTAGATTCGCGCGTTGGGCGTCTCCTTCGTCTCACGCAACTCGTCCAGGTTGTCGCGCACTGCGCGTCGAATGATCGTCTTCGCCTAGCGATAGTCCGTGTCGCCGTCCTCCCAACAAAAGCCGTGATGGTTCGCTATCAACCAACTGGCTCTCGCTTTCTCGGAGCTCATCAGCAGATTCCAACTCATCGGTGCGTGAAACACGTGATGCGCGAGCACGCGTGTCTCGCTTCGCAACACGGCCACCTCCTTCGCGACGAATCTGTCGCCCACTGTGAATCCTTGCAGGTCGACGAAGATTTTCGTCGTTGCCGCTGTCGCCATTGCGTCGGCGCGCGTTGGAAAAAAATTAAAAAACAGACGTTCGTTTAAAGTTGCTCGTTCCTAACAGACTGAGAAACGATGGAAGGAACCCGCGAATTTATATATTCCTCGTTTCCGGGATAAAAATAACCTCATAACCACATTTTTCCGTTTCCCGGATGAGGTATTCTCGCAATCGCATTTTCAGTTTCCCGGATAAGGTATTTCCACAACCTCAATTTTCGTTAGATAATTTTGCGCACCACGTTGGTCAGCGGACTGTACTCGATGACTCGATCGTGAACGATGAGACAAAAAGCTGTGGTTTTCGGCGGAACGTTTTCCTTGTTTTCGAATTCGATGCGCACGTCCACGGTGGCGCTCTTCACCGATTCGTTTTGACGGGAACAATCGATCACCGCGAGCGGAGCTACCCGCGCGAATTCGCGCGGGGAAAAGAGCGCGTCGTCGCGACCGTTCCCGTAATACGCTCCTCGAAATTTTGCGTACATCTCGTACAGCACGGCGAACTTGTCGCTCTTGAAATCCACGTTCACGTCGTCGTAGGGATAGAATTCCGAGTTGAGATACAATTTCACGTTGGCGAGCGCGCAATGATCGAACCTCGAGGCGTCGCCCGCGAATTCGTTTCGCCGTCCGGTCTCCAATTGCGGCGCGGCTTTCACGGCCCACGAATGCTTGGTCGTGCTCTGCAACAGGGGAAATTCGTACAGATCCCAAGAGCGAAAGCCCGCGCTCGGAAATCGTCCGCTCTCCAACGTTCGCAACAGCGATAATTTAGTCACGTCGTTCAGCGCCACGTGAGGCATACGCCATTGCACTTTCAACAACGTAATTTTAGGATCCTTGGCCGGATCTCTCGGCACGGTTTTCTTCGGATCTACGACGCAGTTGTGGTCGCTACAAGAGCGTATCAGGATAAGCTCGTGTCGCGCGTTTATCACCACGCGTCTGTAGTCCTCGCAAAAACCCAAAAAAATATTTAAAGGTACGCAAAAGTTGAATTGATGGGACGCGTTGTTCAGATTCGATTCGCTCGTCGGATAACTCCATCCAGCGTTTTGCAGTTTTCTGGCTCACGGAAAAAGGTATTCACCGTATGAGATTGTGCAAGGCGGATCATGAAACGCGCTGCGCCCTGCCACTACGCTGGACCCTGGGCCGTGTCCTCCACTCTCTTCCGTCGTGCGCCCATGTCAAAACACGCTGCTCGCGCTGCACGATACGACGTGCTACGTTCGCAACGCGAAAGCCGGTGCGATGCACGGAAAATTACCGTGCTTAGTACGAGGATAAACGTTGCTGCGCGGCAGCGTGTTTTGACATGCCATGGGCGCACGACGGAAGAGAGTGGGGGACACGGCCCAGCGTAGTGGCAAGGCACAGCGCGTTTCATGGTCCGCTTTGCATGATCTCATACGGTGAATACCTTTTTCCGTGCTTGTTCGACAGTCAGCGACACGTAATTCTTTATCGTGCTGGTTATGCCGACGTTTCTACACCGGTCGATCTCCACGCCGTCGAGCTCGTATCGAATTTCGTCGAACATAAACGCGACGCAATTGTTGACTAATTTCGCGTATTGTTCCTTATTCGTCGCGCCGTCGTCGTTGAGTCGTCCCTCGACATACAGGAAACTGTCACGGCAGTGTATACAGATCCTGCTGCTGTATGGGTATTCGTATCTCGTCGTTGTGTCCGAACGTCGTGTTGACGTACGGGTTATACGTGTAAATCTCGATTCCGACGATGCGCTCGTCGAAGATCGGCTCACCGCCGATACTCAGTATGTCGGCCATGGTTTCTCCTCTTGAGGTAGAAACGACGCGGCGGTGACGCGTTTTTCACGGCGAGACCCAGCGATCGTAGGAACCTGACGTTGGCGTTGCTGAGAACGGCTCTCCCTCCTCCTCCGCCTCTTCTCTTTCCTACGCTTCCGATCTCGTTGTAGAACGGGCTAGCTCGCTCGTTCGTACAGTTCGCGCTAGATCCGTTCAGAACGAGCATCCCTCCTCTCGCTCTCTCTCTTCAGGGATACGCGCACACACACACACACACTAACCGTGACGACGACGTACGTGCAGTCTAATCGTTATCTCCTCGCCGCGAAAGTCGATCAACCGATCTTTCTAATCCACGACTCGCACCGTGATATCGGTGACGTTTCGCGCGACGATCGGGAGGTAAATGATCTGCGTCGGAGTCTCCGACAGTTTATATCCCGGTGGAACTTTCGGCGCGAATTTGTGTATCGCGTGCACCGAGCGTCCGTTGCTGTACGCTCCCGATGTGATACTGCACTCGATGCGAATTATGTTCACGCTCATGACATCAACGGGTCCGTCGGAAACGTACCATTTGTTCGGTTTTAGGATACGATTGCTCGAGAAACCTAAAAGAGAACCGATGTTGTTCGGTTTTGTAAAATTCACTCGGTAGGCGCACTTTGTCTCGCTTCTCATAGTATTCTCGTTGGCGCGAAGATTGAGCACTCTGTCGCCACCGTCGTCGTCCCCGTATATATCATAACTGTCGCCATCGTTGTCGTCGTCGTCGTCTTCGTCCACGTATGCGCGATAAATCTCGTCGTCGGTTTCGTCCTTCTCCGTTTGGTTTTTTTTTTTTACCCGTCTAGCATTGTCGGTCTGCGGTTTTCCTCCTTTCTCCTTAATTTTGTCTCTCTCGCGGGCGCGACGTTTGCGATGGAGAATAGCGGCGCGCAGACATCTGCTCACGGCTCTCAACTCGTACGAACCTTCCGGAACGACGATTCTCCGGTCGTCCTCGCCGTAGTAGAAGCGATTGTTCGCGGACGTAACGTTCGGTACCGAATTGTACGTCTCAAAAGTCGCCAAACCCAGCTCGTATTTGCCGTCGCTCAGACCCAAAGCGGGAAAGTGATTCGCCGTGAGAACGCTGCCGGTCCCGGTCAACGTGAGCGTTAGCGACATCGCGGGAGAACGTCGATCGTCCGCCCGCTTTCCCCCAATCGATCTCGCGAAGAAATCATAGGCACAGCTTTCCTCAGATTCTCTGATCGAATGACTGGAACGCGCGACGATTGTACGTCACGATCGCGCTCTCGCCGCCACCGTCGCCGAGATACCGCGCGAGATCCCTTGGCGGGCGGAGATTTCCAAACGCGTCGAAGTAGATCGCCGAGTTCTCTTTTTTCGCGTAAGCGACCCAATGCGTACCCGGGCCCACCGCGTCGTCGAGATTCACGATGCCGCACTCCACGCGTCGCACCCTCGTCGGCAGAGCGTCGCGCATGAACACCCCGCGGAAGAACGGCACGCGCAGGCGACGCGCCGCTCGATCGAGCTGTTCGTCGGTCGTGACGCCGTACGGAGGTAGACGCGCTAACCTCGCCTTTTTACGCGAGGTTTTTTTTTCTCCGACTCTTCTCGCGCCACCTCCGCGCTTCTTATACGGCGCGAGGTACAACCTGCGACCCTCCACCGCGCGATTGTGTCGCTGCAATTCGTCGAGCTGTTTTTGCGCCGCTTTGTTGGCGCTCACCGCTTTGGCCACGCTGGCCGCGCCACCGATCAAGGAACCGAGAGCGCCCAACATCGGTAGAAAGGGCAAGAAGCCGCCGCGTTTCGCCGTCGGAAGTATCCTCGGCTTCTTCCTTCTCGTCTTCGCGCTTCTCCTCCCGTTCCTTTTCTCGTTTTTAGGGTTCTAAAGCATGGAAAATTTTCCGGTAAAATTGGAAAAATTTCCGTTTTTTTCGGAAAAATTTCCATTGTATTTTTTTCGAAGAAAAATATGAAAAAATATTTAATTTCTTTGTTTTGTATATTTTGCTTAAAACCGTTACTTAAAAATCTTAAGGGACTACAGAAAACTAATATTCTTCTTTACGTTGACATGAATTACATCCTACATCACATGCACACAGCACATTACACCATAACTCAGAATGTCATCAAATCCCGTTGATAATACTGGCACATAAAGACGCATTTACAGTAGGAAAGGCAAGTTTCTACGGACTACGATAGATTTAAATTAGCAAAAAGTTCAGTGTCAAGTTTGCCCCGATTTCGAGTTAGCCCCGGTCTTATTACTTTGGATAGTTTTAATAAAATGAGGGGCTTTGTTAGAGAGAAAAAGTTATATGTTATATGTATATCCAAAATCTCAAATTATATTTTTATTTTAAACAGACTTATATAAGTTTCAAAAATACATTGGTACTAGTTACTAGTGCATCACAAATATCACAATTGTCAATTGCACTTTGATCATCTCCTCTCGCTTATTTTACTTATTCTTATGCAATTGGCACATTTTGAAAAATTGAGACTCATGACTCTGAGTCACTTTCACTTTCAATTTCAGACATGAAGTCTAGAGAATCACAGTCTAACTCAAAACTTAAACCTATATTGGCTATATCATTGGTGCTGTCAATAGGAACAGGTACATAAGAAGTATCATTACAACTACTTTCACAAAAATCCTTATTCTTAGCTTTGGACGGCTTCTCAGGTAATGCATTTGCAGTGAAACGCAGGTTGGATTTGATTGCAACCTGCTTTTGAACTCGCTCATTAGTCAACCTGTTTCTTATCTTTGAATGAACAAAGCCATGGGTTGACCAGTTACGTTCACAAGCAGCTGAACTAGGTGGAACATTAAATAAACGCATAGCAATAGGATAAAGATTTTGATTTGAACAAAATCCTCCCCACCAAGTGGCAGGGCTCACATGAGCGGCAGCTTCCCAGATACTACTATCAGAGAAAAAACCAGTTTTTGTTCTAAATTCAGCTAAATTTGCCAAGACCAAACCTTTTTCCAAGTTCAGGAATTCACATTGCTTACTTATAAATTGAAAAGCTGATTGCTTTTCAACTAATTCTAAATCTTTACCTAATTTTTTGGGTTCTAGTAAATTGGCTGCAAAATAAATTTCTGAGTTACAATTGTACAGTCTTTCAACAATAGCTTTATTCACTTTTATTTTCTCTTCACTGGTGAGTATTGAAGAAGTTTCGACTGCAAGAGAAACATTAGTACTAATCTGTTTTGTTAGTTGGGGCACCTTTGAAAGTACAGTTTTATTACTTTCTACTTTAGATATTGCTTTAGCGATTTCAATCAACATTTTGTATAATTCACTTATAAGTTCCCAAAAACCATCATTGTCCATAACCATATCTCGTATTTCTCTTTTAACATCAAGATTTTCCTCAATTACTGTAGCCTGCATTGCTGCTTTGTTGGATCTGATTGAGTACAGAGAAATTACTAAGTAAAACCATCTGGTTTTTGGTGGCAGCTTGAGAGAAATAGCCTTAGACCCATATCTTTCTTTCTGTTCTGACTTGAAAACAGCATTAATAACATGATGATTCTTGAATTCTTTAATTACCTTTTTTACTTTTTTATTTATAGACTGAACGCTTGGCTGTTTGATCATGTCATTCACAAGCAAATTTAATGAATGTGCACAGCAACCAATTGTTACAATGTGAGGATGTTTTTCATTCACCAGAGACCACGCTGCACGCATGTTAGCTGCATTATCAGTAACAATCAAAAATATACGTTTTACATCTACATCATCTTTGACAAGATCATCTATTATCTTAAGTATTTCACTAGATATAAACTTGGCTGTTTCTCGCTCTTTACCAGGTGCGACTGATTTCAAAAATATCGGTTCTGGAGTGAATATGACAAAGTTTATTAAATTCTCTCCCCTTATATTTGTCCATCCATTAGTTATAATACCCAAACACGGAGCAGCTTTAATCTTTGCTTTCACAGACTGCATAACCTGGTCATATTCAGAATTTAAAAGAGGGTTACTTATTTGGTATGCAGATGAAGGTTCATAGGAAGGACGCATGAGAGACATAGCAAACTTCCAGTATGGATTTTCAAAGATGGAAAAAGGAACACCAGTAATAAACACTGCTCTAGCCAAAGCATGATCAATTTTTGTCTTCATTTTATCCGTAGTCACTGAAACGAATTTCTCTAAGGTCTTATTAGATCTTGAGGATTTTGAAGTGCTTGAGCTTGACACTGAGGACGTACTGGCTAGAGTTGATTCAAATGAAGGAGCAGCATTAGGTACGGACAAGGGCATAAGATTGTTATCCTCATCATCACTTGTATCGCTTTGAATTCTTAACCTTTTTGTACTTGAATGTTTCTAAAACATAAAAAGGAAAATTAATGTGTCACTGTTTTGGCCAATTTTTATTTTTTATGACTGTAAATTTTTTTTAAAAAAAGACTAAAAGATTAACCTGGATAGCTTTCTGAGTTTCTTTTCTTGCACTCTCCGGGCATTGTTTACAGTCTTTCGCAATGTGCTGAATCATCCGCGTAGCGTTGGCAAAGGAATACTTTAGGTTACAATAGCTACAAACTGCTATACAAGATAGGGAGGTTTTGGTCGTTTTGGAAGAAGTTGATTGACCTTCTGATGTCACAAAATGTCGCCAAATACTAGCTTTCTTACGTCCCATCATGTATTTCTGGCAAGAAACTGGGAAAAAATGCAATTGTTGTTGTTATACGTAAAGTTCAGATTTAATTGGATAGATAATAATATTAATAATGTAGATAATTTTGCTTACCAAAGATTGTTTCTTTTGTCAACTAAAAAAAACTTTGCCTCGCAGCGTCGTGGCCGCGGCTTCTTCATTACACCCACCTGACCCACCACCCACCACATCTCCATAGCTTTCTCCGCAGTCAAAACAACAGCTTCTTAGGTTATAGCAGATAACAAATCGGTGGCCTTAGGCCCACTTCCACAAACGTCGGTTAACTT